AGGTCTGGCCGAATCAAGGGATTAACTTTTTTTCCCTAATTCGAACCAGCCTTTCTCTCTTTTCTCTCTTCTCTCTTTTCTTCTTTCCTCTCCTACTTCTTGCTGTCTACTTTACTCTACAGTCAACGAACAAGACAGAATTCTATGGCAGGTCAAACTTCAACAGATCCCAAGTATGGATGCTGTATTCTTTTGTTTCATGGTTCATTATGACCAAAATACAAGTGCAACACAGTTTCCTCCTCACCTAAGCATAAATAACATCTTCCTGCCATTTGAGTTCCCTTGCTTTTAATTTGATCCCAAGTAAGGATGCTGTCTAGCGCAACTAGTCATGCAAAAGCCTCCACCCCAGGAGCCATTGGATTCCTCCAGACCCCCTCACTTCCGACTTCACCTGATTCCTTGCCAAGGCTTTATAAAAGGACTATATTGAGAACACATATTCCTACTTTCTTTCCACCATTTCACATCATTTCCCTTTGCTTGAACCTGCACTTATTGTAATTTTGCCAAAAGATCCACACACTCCTCAACCTCCAAGTCAAGAAGTGGTCTTCTAAATTTTGGGCTCTATACCACTCTTCCTTGGCTTAATTCATAACAGTCAGCAATAGATATGTTTTTCTGGCTTAACCTGCAGAGTCTTGGACATAGGTTGAAAGAGACAGTTCAAAAATGCTGACCAAAAGCTCATTATTCCTTTCCAAACACACACTCCATATGAAGATTTCACCTCTTTCGATTCCCACCCAAAATATGTAACATCATGCTTACAAGCAACGTCCTCCCCCCACAAAGAATTTCTTTCCACTCCAAATCTCCATAACCACTTCCCCAAGAATGTCTTATTAAATAGCTTTACTCTCCTTATCCCAAGATTCCATTCTTTCTTGTCCCTGCATACCCAATCCCACTTCACTAAGTGAAAATTTGTTCTCCAATCCTTTGACAGTCCATAAAAAACTCTTTTTGCATCTGCCACTGATTATAGTTTCTTGAGAAATTAAAGATAATAAACTGGATGGTTAGATTAAATCACCTTCAACAAAACTTTTGTCATTATGTTTTCCATAGTAAATCACTGGTGCATCCTCAAATTTGTAGATAATACTTCTATGCAATGAAAATCATTTGCTTGATAGAGTTTCAAAAAATTTTCTGGGTTTCAATGAGGATAGGGAGGCTTTCTTCAATCTCTCACATGTGGTGCAATGCCTGCATAGGGTTTAAATCTCTATGCTAAGTCTCAAATCTCAATGGAAGAGTGGTGCTTTTTTAAGGATTTTTTGGTGGTGATTCGAAAGGGTAGAGATCGAGGTTGTGTAGTTTTGTGCTTCAAAGGGATAGAAGGGGGCATTTTGCCGAGTATTTTCAGAAAAAAGATACAATTTCATGGTTCTAAGGCCCATCCTGTGCTAAAAACTGTCGTTTAAGAACACAAGGAGTCTTAAAATCTCGTACTTGTCTATTACAGACACATGAGAATTCATTTGAACTGCATAAAACGTACCAAGTAATGTTCTATGTTATTGGTACTAAATTTACTATACTCCATGGATGATGGGTATATGATCCCTTGAATGCAATAATTCTTTAGTTTTATTTGTTCTTTTTTTTTTTTTTAAATGTGGTAAAGTCGTAAAGATGATCTATGATTACTTGGTTCTTTCTGTTGCTTTTGAAACTATCAAGTGAATATTATGGAGTATTAATCTTTTTGTAAAACCATTGGTTATATTATGGAGTATTCATGACCTCATCAAATTTGCACAGGAATATTTTATTTTGAACTAGGCTTTGGTTTTAAAAGAGTTCAAGGATTTAGATTTGTTCAGTTTTGGTGAAAAAAACTAGGAGCTTGTGAGACATTTCATTTTTCTTTATTATTATTATTATTATTATTATTATTATTATTATTATTATTTGTAATGCATGTTACCACTTTCTTTTGATCTATTTTGGTTATTTCATATGGTGATCTTTGCTATTTCTAGTGACTTTTTTTTCTCATCTTATTTTGTTTAACACATTTCCTTATTACTAATATTCTCATTATCTTTTATGAAAATAGACATATAAATTAAAAAATATTTTTGGGAGGATATAAGGTTTCCATGATTTGGAGTTTGGACTCAATTAAAGTTTTAATGTTGGAACTAGTTATGAATTATTTTTTTTTTAAATTGATTTAGCTAATTATTTTGTGTATCATTGTATCTTTTAATCAAAAAGTGTTATTTTGTCACTTTTGAAATTCGTTTCTATGCATACCATTCAGTATATTTGTGGATCAATTAAAGCACTTATGAAGCAGACTAATTAATATTGCTTTAATCTATCTCCTTATGCTGTCAATATTTCCTTTAAGATGTGGCTACTTAAAAGAATTGAAGCATTACAAAATTACAGTAGGAACATCGACTTATCATTATTAATAAACTCTCTTTCCTTGAAATAGATCTTGACATATACACAACAGTCAAAAGAAATGACCAGTGTTGAACAAGACAAGCTTGCTAAAAGGATTCAGGAATACAGGACACAAATGGAACTGGACAATTTACGTGCTTCAAGTAATGTTGAAGCCTCAACAAGTGGCGATGGTATTCATGTTGTCGGTATGAGTTCGTACAAGGAAATAGAAGCTCTGATGCAGTCTACTGCAAATGGGGAGGTATTATTTCCTTATACATATTATTGGTGCATTTGTTTTGGTCCTCATGATTCTCTTCAGATTGAACATGTTCTCTAGGATTAAAGATTATTTTCTTCCTGAGATCTTGTAATCGGGTTTTTAGGTATTTATTCTTAGAGATTTAAGCTGCTTACTGACAGGGCTTTTCATTATATTCTAGGTACAAACAATTAAGCAAGGGTATCTCCTTAAACGTGCTACCGTGAGGGGAGATTGGAAGAGGAAATTCTTTGTACTTGATAGCCATGGGGCTTTGTACTACTATAGAAATAATGCAGCAAAACCTGCGGTATGCTATCCATTTATTTTAATTTATTTGATTTTGCATTTTTGTACTTCTAAAAAATGCAATGATGATGCACTGGAAACAGTATAATTGAAGTCATGCTTGGGTGTCTACTTGCAATTACCTAGGTGATGGTATGCACATAAACAACAATCAATTATATTACATAGATACCTTTGCAAGTAATGGAATGTGCTCCTTTTAGATTCTCTGACAATAATAACTAAATGTGCTCCTTGTACATTTTCTGACAATAATATTAATAAAAAGAGTGTGGCTGACCTGACACATGTTTTTCCAAAAGCCTTCTTTCTCTCTCTATTTCTTTCTTTTCTTCTTCTTCTTCTTCTTCCTCCTTTCTTCTTGTTTCTTGTTTCTTAAATTAAGCCTAAGCAGGTTGGTAACAAAGCAGAGAGATCTGTTAAAAATAGAAGTAGGTGTTGTTGGTAGTTGTTGATGTCATCATTCGTGTAGGTGATGTCAACAGCCATATGACTGAGGTTGGTTTGTGTAGGTTTCATATTAGTATTTTAATAAAGGTTTTGACAAATATCGAAGAAATTCTTGAAAAATGCAGATTTGAGTGTTTCTGACTGGACTGATGAAGAGTTGTTTCTTGAAGAGAATGCAATATCTTGGGGCAGAATCGTTTTTGTTTTTAATCTAAGGTCATCTTGTAATTATCTAAGCTGCACATACTATAATTTGGTTTTATCATGAAGACATATTTTGCTGGTATGTTTTCTTCTTCATTTTTAGTGGTGTTTGAGAATTGTGATTAATGATGGATTCTATATGGAGGATTTCGGTATCTGTTTCTTGATTCAATCCTATGATTTGGATCCAACTTATATCCATCAATTGCTTTGGGTGCCTTCAAACTTGGATTCTTCATTCTAGAGTACTGAAAGGTCAACTCTAAGTACTGTAGAGTCCCCTAATAGTAGTTCCATTATTATGGGCTGGATTTTTGATGGTTCTAGTCTTCCCTTAACTACTATTTGGTTGGGTGGAACTAGTTTCTTTGAATAGTCACAATCTATGAAGATATATGTGGGCGGCAGAGATAAGCATGGATACCTATAGAGAAGACTAAAAGGCCTTTCTAAGCTTTGAAAAAGTCATGTCAGGGGACCTTTCCTTTCACAATTAAATCATCATCAAGTCTATTGAATATCTGAGATCTTTCTTTTTTTATTTTTTATTTTTTGCGATTTGAATATGCCTTGTACCTTGCATTAGTTAAATGGATGGTTTCATGATGCTTTGACATCTATTTTGCTATCATTTTCTGCTTTAACACTGTCTTCTCCACATTGGGAAAAAGGGACAAAATCTAGAAAATGTGTACAATTCCTTCCAAAAATGACTTCAGAAGGATTCTTACCTATGGTATGATTCCTTGAGTAATTCACAGAAAATTCATCCTCAGCAATACCAGCTTCTTATTACTTTGTAATGTCTATTACGTTATGCCTAAGTTCTGCCATCTTAAGTATGTAAGCCCATTGGGCCAAACTAAAATGCGTCCATCAGGTGTTGGGCCTAACAGCAACACTTGCAATGTAATCTCTACCATTAATATCCTACATTGGGAATTGGGGAAGGGCTTATTCTCCTAACCAAGACACACTTGTGTCACTCTCTACCATAAACTATATATTTACATAATATTTATTTTGCAAAACCAATTCCAAAACATCTGTAATCCATCAACAACAGTTTTTCAGCTTCCATCAAAGTAGCTGATCCTATCACAATGATCACTTGCCTAAATATCATTCTCATTTGCTTCAACATACCCATGTATTGGCCCAAAAGGATCTCATTGACACTTGACAAAGTACCATTATCAAGCTACATGTAACAATCTAGTTGCTCCACTAATTGAAAAGTTCAGGAGCACACTCGAAATGGTCCGGTTAGTGTTCTACAAACACCCATACTTATACCTTGGGTGCTGGCTAATTGTGGACTTCTTCCACCTTGTTGGGATGTGGTTTATTTTATGGCCCAATTTGAAACCATTTTTTTCTTTAGATAAATGAATTTTGAACCATTTTTGAGACGCATCATTCTCACAATTGTCATTATCAATGATGACCTTGCACAATCTTCCACCATCTACACCTTCTTGAAGCTGTTTCTATTTAGTTACTATTCTTTAATCACTTTAGGGGTATAAAGAATGTGCCCAGCTACTAGAATTGGTGCATCATAATCATCATGCATGGTTTCTCCAAGTTAGTTCAACAATTCAGCAAGTATAACAACCTCTTCAACTTTATTATCAACAAGGTCTTCTTCCTATGTTGGTATAATGACCTTGAGCTGAAGTATGCCTTTCATCCCTGCATTTATTACAAATAATCCACTGTCCCTTTTGTTGATTTCCACTATTTCCTCCTACAAGACTTTTACTTTGTTTGCGACTGAACTTTGTGGGTGTTTGCTACACACCATATGCATAATATGTCCATTTCATCCTAAAATATGTTTAGCATGGATGATTGCTGACTAGACATTGTAGGAATATTTCTACTTGATTCTGTGGTGAGGTGTGGCCATTGTAACCTCAAATGATCTAACCAAACATGTTTTGTTTGTGTTTTACTTGAAACACATACATGACACTGATGCAGACCCCAAACAGAACCGCAACAGCTCCATACCAAATGGTTGGTAATATATCTCTATAGCTGGTTGGTAACCAAACATTGTAACCTCACTGCCCAACTACTACATAGATTTCTTCCTCATCGGAAGAGTCCTCCAATGGTTGGTAATATATGTCTATAGCTGGTTGGCCCCTATTTCCTCCCTTTGGTATGTACCTTGGAATTGTTTCTGGTTCCTTTGGCCTCTAATATTAGCTTTGTTAGGTCCTTAAAGTCCTGATTGCTCCAAATGAGCTCAGAGGTTTGCAATTTTTTGTTGCATATAATGCCTAATCTGCTGCTGCATGACTTTGAAGCCCTTTGTAGTCACTTCATTCCTTGTTAGTTGTACCCTTTTGTGTTGATCTTCCTTTGCAGCTATGGATCTACCAAAATATAGATCCCAAATCTTGTATTTTGATGCCAATTAAAGCAGAAAACTCATAACATGCAGCGATAGGCTCTAATGAGGTCATAGGTCCTTCCAGCATCCTGGTCTTTCAGTTAATGGCTATCTTGGCAATAATGCTGATTGAAAATAAGAGAGAAGAGAAGAGAAGAGAAGAAGAGCAGAAGAGAAGAAAGATTGGAGGCAATAGAACAGTGCTGGCGGCGCTAGCTTCTATTAGTATATATAGGGTGACTAAAATAAAAAGGGAAAAGACCCTTGTGCCCCTGCTGTAAGTGAACTACAATAACAAAAAAATAAAAAAAGGCTTTAACCAACCAAACAGACCCTAACAAGACAAAATTAATAGACAAGAAATAAAATAAACTATTTCAACACTCCCTGTCAAGTTGGAGCATAGATGTCAATCATGCCCAACTTGTCACACAAATCGTTATGCCACACATGATGAAGACCCTTGGTGAAGATGTCTGCAATTTTTTCTTCTGAGTTGACATATGGAGTGCACACTTCTCCATTCACAAGTTTTTCTCTAATAAAATGCTTGTCCACTTCAATGTGTTTTGTCTTGTCATGGAGGACTGGATTAGCTGCAATGTTGATAGCAGCTTTATTGTCGCAATAGAGTGACATAGGGTTGCTAATTGCAAAACCCAGTTCAACTAACAGGTTTCTTATCCACATGATTTCAGCAACCCCATGAGACAAAGCTCTGTATTCTGCTTCAGCACTGGATCTAGCCACCACACTTTGCTTTTTACTTCTCCATGTGACCAAGTTCTTCCTACAAAGGCACAATATCCACTGGTAGACTTTCAATCATTAACTACCCCTACCTAATCAGCATCAGTATATACTTCCACCTTTAAATGTCCATGCTTCTAGAACAGCAAACCAGCTCTGGGAAACTTCTTGAGGTATCTAAGGATCCTCTCTGCAGCTTCAAAGTGAGTTGTCTTAGGATTGTGCGTGAACTGACCAAGGACACCCATTGGATAAGCAATATCAGGCCTAGTCATAGACAAATACAAAAGTCTCTCTACAAGTCTCTGGAACTTCTTCACATCTTTCAAAAACTCTCCCTAACTGTCTCCCAACTGATGGTTAGGTTCAATTGGTGAGTCAATTGGTTTCACCCCTAGCTTGCCTGTATCTTCTAGTAGATCTAGTACATATTTCTGTTGGGAAATAAAGATGCCCTTGTGAGAGCGGGCAACTTCAATTCCAAGGAAATAACGTAAGGGGCCTAGATCTTTCACCTCAAATTGAGTGGCTAAGAATTTTTTTAGTTTCTGTATTTCAGTCTCCCAATCGCCTGTGATCACTATGTCATCCACATACACAATTAGAGCTGCAATTTTCCCTTCACCTTTTTTCACAAATAGAGTGTGGTCTGACTGGCATTGTTTGAGCCCCATCTGTTGAACTGTTAAGCGGAACTTACTAAACCAGCCCAAGGTGATTTTTGTGTAATGCATCAATTTTTTCCTTCATTGCATCTGTCCATTCAGGTTTGGATAAAGCTTTTGCCACATTCTTAGGAATAGGGATACTGTCAACAGAAGAGAGGAGTGCACGATATGAAGGTGAAATATGGTCATAGGACACAAAGCGAGAGATAGGATGATTAGTGGCCAAGATCTAACACCCTTTCCCTTAGCAATAGGAACATCAAGATCATTAATGATAGGGGAATCAACATTGAGAGGTACAAGCATATCAATAAGAGCAAGTGTACCTTGCTGATGAGAAGGATTTGCCTCCGGTGAATCCGATGATTTTGGCTGCATAGTGTCAGGTTCCACGACTCTTGAACTCTGCTACCTTTTGTTATGGCGAAGAAAGACACAGAATGGACGAGGATCGAGTAGAGGAGGTAGTTGAGTCAGAGCCTGTTTCTCCTCAACCCTACTCTCCTCCTGAGGAGAAACCGAGAA